TGCTGTATGTAAAGACAAGTGGATATGGACTCCCAATTGCCTTGGATAATGGCATAATTAGCAGCTTCCTTTAGTTATTATGCCTATTAATATAGAGCAAATTGTGAAATATTTTACTTCTAACATTCTGATTGTTTGCAGACGGTTTATCACAATGCATATCACAACGATCCTTACGCCAAGGAGTTTGGTATAAGAATTAGCGAGAAGCTTGCTTCAGTTGAAGCTCGCATTCTGCCTCCTCCATGGGTAAATAGTCTTTATTTTCAATCTCTCACCTATGTATACTCTACATATTCTGGTTGCAATTGTCTATTGGCTAATGCCTGTTTATCTTTGCAGCTCAAGTATCATGATACAGGCAGGGAGAAAGATTGTCTTCCTCAAGTTGGGCAGTGGAACATGATGAATAAGGTATTTCTACTGTTACTACTCTATACAATAACAATGGTATGAGATGCATTTCACAATCACCTTTGTCTTGTCTGTATTTTGTCTTTATTTTCTTTCATTTGTTTGTTTGGAATAAGGAGGTTAGTAGAAAAGTCTTTGTAACTGGTTGACATGAGACAGCAAGGGCAGCTGAGAGGCAATATTGTGGTTAGTTGGTGGTAGAAAAGGAGGGCAGCTGAGAGGTAGGTGGGAGACTATACCTTCTGGGCTATCCCTATTAAGCAAGGGAGGCCTGGAACCTGGATGGTGATTGCCTTTAGTGGATATATGTTTAATGAGTCATTTTAGATGCAGTGTTTTGAGGTCTGGATGTTGTGGATGTTAGGTTCATTTTGATTTTTTATTTACAAGTATCATTGCAAATTAATTACGAAATTTATCAGCATAGGCCACTTATTGGTAGTCTTGTGAGTTTTAATCTGTAGCCTTAATTGTGTTAAAGTTGTTCCTTGCAAATTAATAGACTGTAAATTTGTTCTATTGCCATTATGTGGCAGAAAATGGTTAATGGAGGCAGAGTCAATAATTGGATCTGCATCAATTTTTCAAGGAATGTCCAGGACAGTGTGGCCCGAGGATTTTGCTATGAGCTTGCACAAATGTGCCACATTTCTGGCATGGTATTGAAATTGCACAATTCTTTTGGGCATCTGCTTCCAATTTCTTTTTGTACTGTGTTTTTGAGGCCTCTCTTAACATTGGATTGTGGTTTTCTATGCAGGACTTTGCTCTTGAGCCATTGCTTCCTCCTGTTGGTGCTCGTCCTGAGCAAGTAGAAAGGGTTTTGAAAACTAGATACCATGATGCAATGACAAAACTCCAGCCACATAGCAAGGAACTTGACTTGCTCATTGTGATTCTCCCGGACAACAATGGTTCTCTTTATGGTACGAGACTTGAGTTCTGTCGGGCAGATGGTGGTTATTTAGTCTTGTTTTTGTTTGAATGGAATTGTTTATTAGGGACAAATCAAGGGGAATTGATGAGTTATATTAAAAAAGCATTTCTTTTCATTTTTTATTCCATACTAGCAGTTTGTTTTGAATCAAAATCTCTGTTGAAGACTGGCATTTTTTGAACATGAAAAATAAAATAAAATTGACAAGCTATTTCTCCTCGATCCCATTATTTGCATATGAATACCTTTGTGAGTCTTTTTCTAAGGTCAAAAGGTTCTTTATATTAATAATAACTCTGTGATATATACTAAGTTTGCTGTCATTCCATCTATTTAAAAGCTGATTTTCATAATTGCTTTCAATGACTCTGCTTTTTACAATTTATTGTGTTTGGAGTGCAGGTGATTTGAAGCGTATTTGTGAGACAGATCTTGGGCTTGTTTCTCAGTGCTGCTTGACAAAGCATGTGTTCAAAATGAGCAAGCAATATCTGGCCAATGTGGCTCTGAAGATAAATGTGAAGGTTGGGGGAAGGAATACTGTTCTTGTTGATGCATTATCAAGACGTATTCCTCTAGTCAGTGACCGACCCACTATTATTTTTGGTGCTGACGTTACTCATCCTCATCCTGGGGAGGACTCAAGCCCATCCATTGCAGCTGTATGCAGCTTCTCTTTTCTCTTCAGCTTCTGAATGCCTACATCTATTCTCACTTGGATGGGCTGTGCCAATTTGCAGTTTTTATTTTTATATTAATGAGATTTTAATGCAGGTTGTGGCTTCTCAAGATTGGCCGGAGGTTACTAAGTATGCTGGCCTGGTTTGTGCTCAAGCCCATCGGCAAGAGCTTATCCAAGATTTATATAAAACATGGCAGGATCCTGTACGAGGGACAGTGTCTGGTGGCATGATCAAGTATGATCAAGCTCTAACTCTGATGATGGTCCTGTGCTCCAAGAGGAGCTTTCTGTGGTTTTAAGGATTGATTCTCTCTTTCCATTTTGCAGGGAACTTCTCATATCTTTCCGGAGAGCCACAGGGCAGAAGCCTCAGAGAATTATATTCTACAGGTATTAATTATTCTGTTCTCCCTTCTGCTTTGTTGTTTATTGTTGCCATGTCTAATGACGTATTTATTTTCCAGAGATGGTGTCAGTGAAGGGCAGTTCTATCAAGTTTTGTTGTATGAACTTGATGCTATTCGGAAGGTAAAACTGCTGTCCTTTGAAGCTCTCTCCCTATTGTTTATTTTATTTGTTCCATGTCCTGATGAATGTTGTGAGCCTTCTATTTTCTCATCTTTCTGCTTTCATCCTCAGGCATGTGCTTCTTTAGAGCCCAACTACCAGCCTCCAGTGACATTTGTTGTGGTTCAGAAGCGTCATCACACAAGGCTGTTTGCAAATGATCACCGCGACCGTAATGCTGTTGACCGGAGCGGGAATATATTGCCTGGTAATCTATCTAGCTTCGTGATGTGATGAATGTGTTCAAGTTGTTTTAGATTCACAACATGTTCTGCTAAACCCATCTCTCATATGGCAGGTACTGTTGTCGACTCAAAAATTTGTCACCCAACAGAGTTCGACTTCTATTTGTGTAGTCATGCTGGGATTCAGGTGAGACATGCATAACTGTGTAAATTCGATTCCTTCAGAGCACTTTGATGCTTTTGGTTTCTGACCACTGGCCACTGACAGGGTACAAGCCGTCCAGCCCATTACCATGTACTTTGGGATGAGAACAAGTTCACTGCTGATGGGTTGCAGTCCCTTACAAACAATCTTTGCTACACGTATGTTCAAGTTTATATTTAATTTTACAGTTTCTTGCCCCTGAACACTTTACCTGGTCAATGCTTCGCTTTCTATGATAAACTATGTCTCACTAATATGTGCGCACTACCTTTTGATTTCTGCAGATATGCAAGATGCACCCGTTCTGTTTCCATTGGTTAGTCTCCCTCTACCTCCGCCCCTATTGAACACTTACCCATATGCACAACTTGTAACGGGCAAATAACCTCCTCTTTTATTGTTTTTATGATATTGCAGTGCCACCTGCTTACTATGCACATCTTGCCGCATTCCGAGCTCGTTTCTACATGGAACCAGAGACATCAGACAGTGGATCACTAACGAGTGGCATGGCTGCTGGACGAGGAGGTGGAGGAGCAGGTGGTCGGTCCACACGTGGACCTGGTGCCAATGCTGCTGTGAGGCCCCTGCCTGCCTTGAAGGAGAATGTTAAGCGGGTTATGTTCTACTGTTAGGATTCGAGACAGCCCCTCTTTTGGATTGTTGCTTAAATCTAACCAGTCGAAACTGCTCTGTTAAAGCTGCTACCGGATACTGGGAGGCCCATGCTTATCCCTTACGTACAATAAATATCAAGCTGGTTGTGTCAGCGTTGGGTGTGTATTTAATTTACATGTTTGTTGAAACTGCTGCTTTTTTGGCTTTCTTAAAAATTTGAATGACATTGAATGTCTTGAATTCTAAGACTTTTAAGTCGCTGTCTTTTTAAGATTTCATGGTTATGATCTTCCCTCTCCTCTGGGGGTTTTGTTTCTTCATTCGTTTTGGTCATGGTAGTGTCTTTTACCATTTTCCTGACAGCTCAATGCATGCTGCTGGAGTCCTTTACTGTCTTTATATCAGTAATCACCACCTTACAGGAGATGTGGACCTGGTTCTTGTTCTTGGTCTAAAGATGTGTTTCTGAAAAAAAATGAATTTTTTTGTTTTTTAAATTATCTCTCAATGTTCAGCGGGGCTGCTTCAGCCAAATATTCTGCCCGGGATCGTATCTCTGATTACCTAACGTGTCACTTCAAGCAAAATTTAGACACCTCTAGTCGGTGATATGAGCGTGAGCTTTGTCGTGTTGGCAATTTAGAATTTAGTTACTCGGATGTTCAGCAATCTAGTTTGGTTGCTCGAAAGTAACTTTAGGTTTAAATTCAGAACGCTAAGAAGGGTCAGTAAGGGATTGTATGTAGGTCGAGGTCTTGTGGAAAATTGTGTTAACCAACCAAAAATATGGACAATCTCTAGGAAATAAATGTACTTAAAAAAATAAGAAAAAAGAAAAAAGTAGTATAAAAAACACGGTTAGTATTAATCGAGCTGAAGACCCGGGCTGAGTAGGTTGACACGCGGGTCGGGTTGGTGAATTGGTTGAAGTTATGATTAAAAAAAAAAACCTAGGCCTCGGCCCAGGCTAAACTCTTGATAGATAAACTACTTGGTTGACACGCTGGGCATAGGCAGGCCAGGCTGCAATGGAAGGTAGAAGGATATGATACCATGCTGAACATGGTGATCACAGTAGAGCAAACCGTAACTTTGTAGAGACACAAAGTCACGTGACAGCTTGTAACCTTCCTCTAAGGAAGAAGAAGTAGAAGAAACGCATATAAGAGTCCTCTTCATGCATTTCGAAATCAAGAAAGATTAGCATGGCTATAACTCTTCCCTTCACTTTTTAGATATTAAGCAAAAAGGAAATCTAAATATTCTTCTTCTATCAATCACACATTCCTTTCTTTTCTTCAAGATTTCTTTCCAACGAAGAATGGTCTTTCTCCTTCTCTCCTAGCCAAAGTCTAGCTAATTCCATCACGTCATTTTTTGAATAAATAAGCATATTATTACAACTATTAAAACACACAGAAGCTTCATTCTTCTCGATCTTTCTGCATTTGAAAGACCCTTTTCTGTTATCATTTGTTTTCCTGCTCAAATGGCTTCTCCACCAGTCCTTAAGCGATCCGAAACAATTGCTGAAAGCATGCCTGATGCATTAAGGCAGAGCCGGTATCACATGAGGATATGTTTTTCCAGGTACATGAGTGCTTCAATGTTCTTGTCTGGTGAAGTTAGTTACATTGTTCCTCATTATTTTCTGGTTCCGAACCATTAGAAATATTTATAAATCCTCTTATTTATTTCTCTCCGCTGTGATGCTTAAAAAAAAAAAAGGCTTGTTGCTACTGGGAGAAGGCTGATGAAGCGCCAACATATAATGGATGAAGTTGACAAATCTATACAAGATAAGAATGAAAGGCAAAAGGTCTTGGAAGGCTTGCTTGGTTACATCCTGAGTTCCACTCAGGTAATGTTCCTGATCTGTCTCCTTTCTCTATTTGTCCATCTGCACCTGTCTGCTTCTTTATGGACCTAAGAGTTAAAACCGCTTCCTTTTCATCTAAACAATTTGCAGGAGGCAGCTGTTGTTCCACCTTTTGTGGCATTTGCTGTAAGACCGAATCCGGGTTTTTGGGAATATGTTAAAGTGAACGCTGAAGATTTGAGTGTAGATGGTATCTCCATTTCAGAATATTTGCAGTTCAAGGAAATGATCTTTGATGAAAAATGGTATGCACAAGTCCGATTGAAAATCTTTTGAATGATTTTGGAAATAGCCTTTTCTTCTAATAACTGCTACTGGAGGTGCAGGGCGAACAATGAAAATGCGCTGGAAGTAGATTTTGGAGCCATGGATTTCTCCACCCCTCGCCTAACTCTTTCTTCTTCTATTGGGATTGGACTGAACTACATGTCAAAGTTCATGTCCTCAAAGCTCCGTGGGAGTTCCGATGCTGCAAAGCCTCTACTCGACTATTTGTTAGCGCTCGACCATCAAGGGGAGGTAGTTTTCCTCACATTAGCAAGATCATAAGTGTGATCTGCCAGTCTTAGTCTTGGAACAAGTGCTTGAAACTAATGGTCATGCCGCTCATGTTGTAACATGCAGAATCTCATGATCAATCAAGCTCTAGATTCAGTTTCCAAGCTTCAAGCAGCATTGATTGTTGCTGAAGTAGTTGTCTCTGCATTTCCTAAAGACGCCCCATATCAGGATTTCCAGCAGAGGTCATCTATCTAGTTCTTTATTTCCATAAAACATCTATGTTGGTTGAAAATTTATCTCTTGCAAGTCTTATATTGCTGATTGTAAATTAATATGCAGCCTGGAAAGGTTGGGCTTTGAGAAGGGATGGGGAGACACCGCAGAAAGAGTCAAAGAGACAATGAGGATGCTTTCTGAATCACTTCAAGCCCCGGAACCAGTGAAACTGGAGTTGCTCTTTAGCAGGATTCCCAACATGTTCAACATTGTGATCTTCTCTCCTCACGGCTATTTTGGCCAGTCAGATGTCCTCGGGTTGCCAGATACCGGTGGCCAGGTGTGTAAGACAATCCTACACACTGTTAATTATGGCCTGATTATATCATAATCCATGATATCAGTGTAGTAAACTAATCTGCATGTACATGACACACAGGTTGTTTACATTCTTGATCAAGTAAGAGCATTAGAGGAAGAACTGCTACTTAAAATAAGGCAGCAAGGGCTTAGCGTGAAGCCTCAAATTCTTGTGGTGAGGCAGATATATGAACATCTCCAAAGTTTATCTTTATTCACTCAATTAAAGAGTTGGATTCAAGATAATTATTTTCTCCCTTCTTTCTATTGTTTAATTGCATACAGATAACACGACTGATACCACACGCTGGAGGGACAAAGTGCAACCAGGAGGTGGAGCCTATTTTCGGTACAAAACACTCTCACATTGTTAGGGTCCCCTTCAAGACAGAGAAAGGGGTTCTCCCTCAATGGGTCTCCCGTTTCGATGTATACCCTTACCTAGAGAGATTTGCTCAGGCATGTTCCTCCATTTCCTTATATGAACTTCAGATTGTTTTTCTTGAACACATACTGATTGTGATAATCTTGTACTTCTCTCTGGCTCATCACCAATCACTAGGATGCTGCTGATAAGGTCCTTGAATACATGGACTGTAAACCTGATCTCCTGATTGGGAACTATAGTGATGGGAACTTGGTGGCTTCCCTAATGGCTCAGAAACTTGGCATAACTCTGGTTTAAGCTGATCACTTCTTATTTAACTTTCACATTTTTCAATTAAAGAACGAAGACTAACCCACAATCTATATTTATTGTGAAATTCGGTCTGCTGTAATTCCAGGGAACTATTGCTCATGCTTTGGAGAAAACTAAGTACGAAGATTCTGATGCCAAATGGAAGGAATTAGACCCAAAGTACCACTTTTCCTGTCAATTCACAGCAGACATGATTGCGATGAATACTGCTGATTTTATCATAACCAGTACATATCAAGAAATTGCAGGAAGGTTAGCCTTCTACCTGCTATCATCAGTTCTAAGCAAACCTCTTGACCATTATAATTTGCATTTCTAACTAAGATAATTGCTTCAATTTCAGCAAGAATAGACCAGGACAGTATGAAAGCCATGTGGCGTTTACCATGCCAGGACTTTGCCGTGTTGTGTCAGGCATCAATGTCTTTGACCCAAAGTTCAACATTGCTTCCCCTGGGGCTGACCAAACTGTCTACTTCCCCTACACCGAGAAACAGAAGCGGCTAACCTCTTTTCATCCTGCCATTGAAGAACTACTCTATAAGAATGAAGATAACAATGAGCACATGTAAGTTTTTATAAGGTTCCCTTCCGCTGACAAGATTCTAAAGCTATCATTAGCACAGAAAGCCTACAGTTATTGTTCTGTGATGAAACTAATAAAGAAAACATGCCTGGAACAGTGGATATCTGGCAGACAAGAAGAAGCCAATTATCTTCTCCATGGCAAGACTGGATACAGTGAAAAACATTACAGGGCTGACAGAGTGGTATGGAAAGAATGCAAAGCTAAGAAACTTGGTGAATCTCGTTGTTGTAGCAGGATTCTTTGATCCATCCAAATCAAATGATAGAGAAGAAATTGCGGAGATCAAGAAGATGCATGCCTTGATAGAGAAATACCAGCTTAAGGGCCAGTTCAGATGGATAGCAGCTCAATCTGACAGGTACCGAAACGGAGAGCTCTACCGCTGCATTGCAGATACAAAGGGAGCTTTTATTCAGCCTGCGCTCTATGAGGCCTTTGGCCTTACAGTAATTGAGGCAATGAACTGTGGACTACCTACCTTCGCCACCAATCAAGGTGGCCCAGCAGAAATTATTGTTGATGGGGTCTCAGGATTCCACATTGACCCGAACAATGGAGATGAGTCTAGCAACAAGATAGCAGATTTCTTCGAGAAGTGCAAGACAGATGCTGAATATTGGAACAAGATGTCAGCAACTGGTCTCCAACGCATCTACGAATGGTGAACTCACAACGCTACCAAATATCAGACATAAACTTCCATCGGTAACTAATCATACTTCTTGTCCTGCAGCTATACATGGAAGATTTATGCAAACAAAGTGTTGAACATGGGATCTGTTTACGGGTTTTGGAGGCAGATGAACAAGGAACAGAAGCTTCTGAAGCAGAGATATATTGAAGCCTTTTACAATCTCCAATTCAGGAATTTGGTGGGTTATTTCAGACAGTTAGTAACATGTAGCCACAAGTCCTAGGAAGCTCGACCTCTAATTTATCTACTATTCGTGACAGGCAAGGAATGTTCCAATCCCAGGATTTGCACCACCCGTACAGACACCATCAACTTCAAAAACTAAACCCCAAGAATCAGCACCAGCTGCTGTAGCTGAATCTCAGCAATCTCTTCCAACCAAGAAAGCCAAACCGCAAGTAGAAGAGGCCCCGGTGCCAGCACCTAAAACTCAGCTAACACAAAGGCACGTCATTTAACCCCACCTTAATTAAATCACAATTAATTTGATTGTCTGTCTTGATCTTGACAATTAAATCACAATTAATTTGATTGTCTGTATTATCACCAGCTGATTCTCATCTTGATCTTGACAGAAAGGCACAACCCCAGCAGCCTCAAAGCCAAAGGTGAAGACAACAAACTTTCTTTCTCACACAATATACACTTAACCTTTATAATAATAGTTTTGGTAAATTTCTTGGAACCAAAACCAGGCTGTGTTTACCAAGGAGAGACTTTTTTGTTTGCAGGAATGGCAACGAAAGTTTAGGGCAAATGGTCATTGCAAGACGACAAAGCAGCAGTACACAGAGAAGCTGGAGCTGGTGGTTGTCCAGGATCGCTTCCCTTCTTATAGTTTATTACATCCTGAGGAAGTTGTATGGCTACCTCACATGAGAAAAAAGCCATAGCAAGTTGCAGAGATAAACGCTGGAGTCCACAACTCAGAACGTAAAAATGCTTGCCATGCATGATTAATAATAAAAATAAATACACCATGTTGTTTCTTTTATTAGAAGTCTTTCTATAGTAATTAATTTTAAAAAATAAAATTAAAACGAGTCAATATTGATTTTGGAAATATTTAATGTAATATGTATTCTGTAGTATTTAACACCAGGTGTGCATTAATTTTATGTTTGAGTTTAAATATATTCTATGAATATATTTCACAATTTACAACGTGCATATATATAGAAAAATCACAAATAACCATTAATATTGAGGAAGATTTAATTTTGAGAAAATAAAACCACAATAAAAACTAGAAAATAAAAGAAAGAAAACTAGCTAGGCTGATCAATTTTTTTGAGTTTTTTTATCAAATTAATTTTTTTGCATTTTTTATTGTTTTAATGTGTAGATATTAAAAATAATTTTTGTTTTTTATTGTTTTAAAAAAATAAATTTTTTTTTTTAAAATAATTTCTCGAACACTATTTAAAAAATCAGAGTAAGACACTGGAACACTATTTAAAAAATCAGAGTAAGACGATGTATTGTTCTAGGATGTTTACTCTTAAAAAAAAACATTAAAAAACTTTGAATATCAAAACACCGATTCTCTCCTCCCTTCTCTCTATTGATTCTCTCCTCTTTCTCACCATTCTCTCAACATAAGGGACTTTATTTCAACACAAATGAAGTTGAGGACCATTTCATGCAAACCTCTAACACCAAGGATCAAAATGAATTAATGTTTGCTTTAAATCACCTGTTTTATGTTTTAAGGAAAACGACACCGTTTAGCAAAAATTCTAGTTCATTCACACGTCACAGTAGATAATTGAGGCATCGAAGAGAAAAGTCACCGCTCCCGCCACCAAACCTGCTGGCGGAGTTTACACACTCAGTCCAAGAATGTACAAACAACTTTATTTCATTTCTACAATGAATACAATTGCTCATGCCGTCACGTTCAATCTAGTTTGTCTGCATCAAAATCATGTTTAAATTAAATTAAATTAAATTAAATTATTCTCCAATTAGACTTTATTCAGACCACTCGCAATTAAATTCTTCTCCAATCTTATGAGAAAAAGGACCTATTATTTTCAAATTAAAATATTATATTTTTGTTGAATCAAGGTGATGCGAATATTCAAGTTGCTAATGGAAATGGGAAGAGTTCTCTTGTTGTGATTAACGATATTAATTGGGTAATTAATGCCTCCGCCGTCCCATCTTATTCCTGTGATTCACGAAATCTTATCTTTTAATTAATATCCAAAATAGAAGTGTCAAAAGTAGCTGGCAAGCTTGAAATGAATGCGTCCAAGACTCAGTCCATTTCGTCCCCAGGGGCATGTTTGTTATTATTGTAGCGTCTTGAATTTCTTTTAAAAATATTTTTTAATTTTTAATTTTTTCATAAAATAATGTAAAATGATAAAAAGATAATTTGAAGTAAAAAAAATTAAAATTTTTAAAGTTATCGTATAAAAGCTTTTAAAATAAAAAAATACAAATCGGTTACACATGAGCTCCACCCATTAAACTCAAATACATTCTCATCATACTAAAAAAAAAAAAACAATATTAAACTGAAATAAACGGGCGGTGAAAAAAATCTGACCTTGACTAACGACACAGCAAAAGCTGTTTATATAGTTTGAACTTGTCGTCTGCTTATTAAAAAAATTACAATTCGAGTTTAGGCTTCATATTTTAGAAAAGAAGCACAAGCGCATTTAAGGATTTAATTTAAATTATCAACTTAACCTAACTCAAATATATAGGTATTTTTTAGATTTTATAAATAATATATAGGATATGAATATTAATAAGAGTACTGGTTGTATCTCGTTATATGTATTTTAAAATATCAGGTTCAGATGTGAGTTTGTATCATAAAAAATAAATCTATAAAAATATTAAAATCTAAAACGAATAATATATAACAAGTGCAACTAAGTTATTATTTTTGTAGATAATATATAGAATATGAATATTATTAAGTTTGATATTGAATCTCTCAAACCTAACTCAAAATATATATTTATATTATACAAATATATTTTTAAAATATTTAAATTTTTTAATATAATATCACACACATTTTAATATTAATATATAGATAATGCGCACGTGCGCGCACATATATATATATATATATAGATATATAGATAATGCGCGCGTGCGCGCATATATATATATATGTGTGTGTGTGTGTATTACCTGTTATATTTTTTGTTGGCCAATAAATAATATAAAAAAATTGATATTTAAAAATAAATAAATAATTTATAAATATCTAAACTTTTTATTCTAATAAATAATAAGTCCAATATTAATATCGATTGTAATTCTAGCCCATCCTCCTAATCCTAGGGACTCTTTTCTATTCCCTTCATTCTAATATACTTTGAATAAAAAGCACTATAAATAAAATATCCTCATGACAATTGCTTTGTGAATTATTATACATGAACAAGATAGGCAAAGTTTATATATAAAAAAAATATTCTCCTAGAATAAAATATCTAATTTCTTATTTTTTATTGTAGTTTTTTTTTCATAATTAATTATTCTTTTATTTTTTCTTCTATAGTATATAAATTATCAAGTCATGATTTTTTCTATAAATATCTATCTTAATTATGATAAAAATAAATAAAAATTGATGTTGAAATTTATCTTGCAATATTACTAAATAATAGCAATAAACGAGTATTCTTTTTAATTAAACAAACTTTCATATATTAAATTAAATTAAATTTCTTTCTTTTCAGGTCTTGAATAAGTCAATGGCGTCCAGCCGAGTCAACGGATTTACAAATAATTTCTTTATTAAATAGCCTCCTACATAAGATGAACCCTCGATGATATCAAGAAAGCAATTATTTTTATTTAATAATGTAGTAATAATTATTTTTTATTAAAAATATATTAAAATAATATTTTTTAACATTATTATAATTAAAAAACACACAGAAAAATGAAAAACTTCCTCTTAATTATCTGGCAAGTTGCTTTCTGTTATTTGTCTCTCTTTATTAGCAGGAACCGTAATTATATCAGTGGTCACGTCTAATATTGAACGATTAGATGTAGTTTCCATATACTGCGAGACTAAACTACTGTTTCATCCCCTGGGGCTCAACATTTTCAACAAATACACTGAATCAAAAGGAGAATAAAACAGTAAACCAAATACATAAATAAATAATATACAAATTTTGCCATCTCTTGCTAGGAAATGAAATATATATAGAGAGAGAGCAGCAAGGTTTTGACCTGCAGACCAACTATGCATACTTAAAGACGAGATAGACTGGTTCTAATTTGGAGAAAACCAAGAATTACACAGTGCAATTCATCATCATCTGCAGGGAAAATGACTGGAACTGGTGGCGACAACAAGAATGGACCTGTGCACAGTTCTTCTGGGCTCATCCACAAACCGGTTGTCAGAATCACAGTTCTGTTTATTGGAGTTCTTGCAGTTTCTTGCCTTGTTCTGTACGGGTCTGCCAACCCTTTTGAATTCCTGCCTCGCTCCTTGGGTTACTCCTCTGATTCGGATTCACTTTCCGTGTTATACCATCAAACTTACAAGGTGAGTTTCCCTTTCATAATCTCTTAATGCTTAAATTTACCTCATTAATCTTGTTGGGTGTTGATTACTTTTCTTGCTGGTTCAATATAAGTGGAAGGTGCTGTTTCTTTTCTTCCTTGGTTCTTCTTATTGGTCACCAAAACCTTCTTCAAGGCTTCATATTATAGCTGCCTGTCTTGAATTCAACACTCGTGAAACAAAAACAAAATTGCCCAAGAACCAAAATCACACACATCACCAACACGTTCCAGTACATAATTCAGAGGCAGAGCATATACAAACTTCTCTGTTTCCTGGCTAGCTGAGGTATTTTTAACATCGAATTAGTCTCTTTCATTGATCATTTTCTTGATCTTGAATCAAACACTATTGCTTGATTGTCCCTTCCTTAGTAGGATTTCTGTACATCTTTCTTTTTTTTAGGTAAACTATATTTTAGTCTCCGAAGTCTCATCATTGCTTTACTGCAGACCCTGCAGTTTAAATCTCTTCAATATTAACCCCTTAGTTTTGAGAAAGTTTCAATCTTGCTCTTGAATCTTGAATAGCTAATATATTTCTTCCCTTCCTTTTTCTTTCACTTTCATCTTAAAACTTTCCTCTCTTGTTTTCTTTCTGTCCTCTCTCTCTCTCTCTCTCCATATATATATATAGACTGAAGGTGAAGAAAATCCTTAGGAGGAAAGCGATGGATTGTGTGCTTTTTGCTCGTATTAATGATTCATTTACATGTATACCATTCATAAATCTTCAGTTTTGGATGGATACAGCTCTCCCTAGTCCTCGCTATGGTACACCCATGCTTCTATATGATAATATATCACAAAATCATCCCATATAATCAACATTGAAAAATATGAACCGACAAGGGCTAAAATGGAAGGCAGGCCCTAAAACATAGTTTATCCTTTTTGTTTGCTCCACCGTAAGTCTACAACACCGAGGTAGTATTTAACTATTGGTTTAGAATAAAAAAAAAAAATGGAGATAGCTAATATATGTCTTAATTTATTTTTTATCTTGAAAATATAAAAATTCATTTCAAAATTAAAATTGCAAATTTAAAGGTGTTTAGTGTTTTTATTTGTATTTTTAGATGCTTTTTAAAAGTGTTTTTGATTTGAAAAAATATTAAATTTATTTTTTAGTGTGTTGTTATGATTTTAATATGTTGATGTAAAATAAAATCTTAAAAAATTTATTTTGATATATTTTTAAGTTGAATTTATTTGTTTAAAAAAACACAATTCACTATACTTTTAAATATACATTTTTTTCTCTTTAAATAAACATAATTATGTATATATATCCAAAAATATAAAAAATTATTTAAAAAAAATTATTATTATTATTTTTATAAACATTCAATGACACTCACAAACAAACCCTTCGCTGTCACAGCAGCATGTGTTTTCTAGGCCAGTCATTTCGTGGGCCTACTGTGGGTTGGTGATGGAACATGAAGGAAATGTCTTCTCACTTAAATGATACCACTAGTTTTCATAGTAATAAAAAATGATTTAAAATTTAATAATCTATTTTATTATTTTTATTATTATGAGGTTGTTTACAACTTGCAATAACGACTTGACTTTCTGGGGTCAATTAATTCACTTTGCTCATGAAAAAAAAAAAGACGGGATTATTCATTTACAAGAAAATAATATAAATGTTTTTAACGTGAAATTAATAATTTTTTAAAGCTTCATTTCATATATTCTAAGGGCATCTCCAATCATAACGGTAAATAAAATGCTATAGCCAAATAACTGCCAATATATATATATATATATATATATATATATATATATATAGCACATTGTAATAATAACAGGAAAAGAAAAAACACACTCTGCTTTGAAAAACTAGACAAGAGAAGGCTTCAAAGTGTAATGATTTCCCATCAAGTAGTTTCGCCTTTAATTTTCGTTCACTAAATTTATAATGTCAATCTTAAATAATTTTTTATTGGATGTTAGACACGTAATTCCATCAAGAGCTAGATAAACATGGTGTACACTCAGCAAACCACGTCATCCACAAACTCATTCGTCGGAAAAAGATCTACACTGTCACAAATGAACAGTTTGATGTGTCGTTTAGTTTCCTTCCTCTTCTATTTATTTTCACTCCCGGCCTCGGCTGGTCAACCTAATGACCGGTCAACACAAGGCTTGATCCTGACCAAGTCAGTAAAAAATCCCGGCTAGTCAACCTAATGAACGGTCAACACAAGGCTTGATCCTGACCATGTCAGTAAAAAATCTTGGTGTGTGTGTATATAAAATTATATAAACAACCTTTTTTCACGTGTTTTTTTAGAAAACAAAAAAGTTTGTATATATGTATATATATAATTAGATAAATTAATAACTATGTAATTATTTTTATATTAGTTAAGAAACTAATTTGTTCCCATTCATATTGCTTAAAAAGCTAGGATGAAATTGTAAAGAACCCCGTAATGTCTATTGAATTTATTTTTGTTTCTAAGAGTAATATATTTATAAAATCAAAAGATATAAATATCCCTATATCTCAGTTTTAAATAATTTACTTCTAAACAGGGCGTAGCAAGAAAACAAAACTAAAGGGACCAAATTAAAAATTAAAGGTAGCAAAGTTAAATTTTTAATTATTTTTATAATTTTTATAAGGAAGGGAGCTGAGAAAACAATTTCCTGCAGGGATCGGGCCTGCTAGCTCCTTTGTCTCTGCTACTGCTTCTAAATAAATTAATATATTTCTAATTATTTTGGTGATATAGATTCCATAAAAAACAGTATTACTAGTGTATTTAAATTTTTAGAAAGGATAAAAATATAAAAATATTGTTTTAATTCACAATATATCTTGTGTTATAATATTTTTCATGCTTTTAGATTTTTGAAAGATTGATAAATTTAAATGAAATTAGTCTCTGTTAAATTTGATCTGGTAAATAAACTTGATAATTATAAAATTCAAAATTTAACTTAAAAAACCTAAGATTTAGAACTTAAGCCGAGATGAATTTTTTTCTTGAACCAACCCATATATTAATTTGATAGAATCTAATTAATCCGGCTAAGTTTTGATTGATTTGGTTAATATAAACAAACTTGATCAGAAAAATATCAAGAATTTTTTAAGGAAAAACAATGTGGTTTTTAATCAAGAAGGCCGCCGCGAGGTTGAAGAAGAGGTAGAAACACTTTCAGCCATCAGGCAAGGTCCGACAGCTATCATAGCATGACAGTGACCACACAGGATATGTTTGCTGACGCAACAGTAACAAGTTAATGTGTTAAAATTGTTACATCATTTGATGGCATCACCTCTGCATTCATGTCAGTGTAGATAAAGTCATCGTCAGACCTGCGACATGTGGCCATGCCCAGTTAACATTTCTTCCTGCAATACTAAATTCTCTTTGTTTTTGTAATGACCACTGTATTTCATGTCTTTCCAGAGGAAAGTTGATTTGGAATTGGGGAGAGTTTTGAATAAAGCATCCATGAAAGGTAAAACTGTGATCTTAACAACATTGAATGATGCATGGGCAGAGCCTGGATCTATATTTGATCTCTTCTTGGAGAGTTTTCAAATTGGAGAGAAGACTAAAGAACTCCTAAATAATTTGGTGATAATATCCCTGGACCAGAAGGCACATGCTCGTTGCTTAGCTATTCATCCACATTGCTATGCTCTCAAAACTGAAGGGCTTAATTTTACAAGAGAGGCACCCTTCATGTCTGAAGATTACCTGAAGATGATGTGGAGAAGAATAGAATTTTTGAACACTGTTCTTGAGATGGGCTACAGCTTTGTTTTCACGGTATAGACAGACGTCCCTTTCGGTTTCTGATAATTATGAAGAGATTTAACCAGATATTCTGCTCCATTTTTCTGCCATCTAACTTCTTCATCTCCTTTTCCAGGATGCTGATATCATGTGGCTTCGAAATCCATTTCCACGGTTCTATCCAAATGTAGATTTTCAGATAGCATGTGACAAGTATTATGGCAATCCTAAAGACAAAAGCAATCGACCCAACGGAGGGTTTACCTATGTTAGATCCAATCTCCGGACGATTCTGTTCTACAAGTTTTGGTTCATGTCTAGAAAAACATATCCTGGCAAACATGATCAAGATGTATTGAACAAGATTAAAAACGATCGTGTCCTTGAAAAGATTGAACTAACGATGAGGTTTCTAGACACTGCTTACTTTGGTGGGTTTTGTGAACGTAGCAAGGATTTTAACAAGGTCTGTACCATGCATGCAAATTGTTGCTATGGTTTGGAGACTAAAGTTCATGATCTTAAAATTGTGCTTGAAGATTGGAAAAATTACACGTCGTTGCCTCCAAATGAAAGAGCTTCAGCATCGCCCTCTTGGAGAGCTCCTCAAAATTGCAGGTATTATTTCGGTATTCTTCAACCTTTCTACCTGATTTTCAACTACGTACTGTTAAGATATCAACAAACATTCATCCTACTGATTATAATGTTTCCTACAAAATGTGGACGAGGATAAGTAACCGAACTTGAGTTCTACCCTCATCAATGAAAAAAAAAAAAATACAACTTCGTTTAGATATACTACTCAAAGCTATACTTACCTCTGGTTTTCATATGCTTGATTGCTGATGTAAAACGTTTTTGACCATTTTTCAGGACATAAATCCAGAATCAAGCTTCCATGTACATCTGGATTCCTTCCATTTTCCTGATACATTCAAGAACACTGATGGTTATCATGTCCCTGTGACAATTGTATGAAATCAGTGAAGGTGCAAAGCGTTTACTGTTCAAAGATTGCTTTTAGCGTCTGCCTCAAAAACAAGTGATGTTTACAGTTTTAAAACCATAGATCAGTTGTTAAAGCGGAAATCTAGAAATAGCAAATACCTTTCTAAACCCACCACCATGGATGTTCCCAGAGTTATTTTTTGACTCGATTGTATGTGTTTGGAATTCCAACTTGAAGATCCACGATACTAGTTCTATTAGGATAAGGGGTTCATGAAATGGGAAAGATACTTTTTTTTTTCTTTTCAAATCCTAGAGTAGACAAATTAATATGCTGTGCAATTTTCAATTTGAGATGAACAAAGTTCTGTGCATGATATTATTCCTTACTTCTGGAAATTCTGTGCCGATCATTTTCTTAACTTGGTTGAGTTGTCAGTATTGCTCCTGCCAAAATGTTTAGATGCTCATAAAGCAGTGAATTTTTACTTGTATAAGTTTCAAGTATCATTCTCTGTTACCCACTTGAAATTTCATATTTCATTATTTTTGAATTAAATCTTATGACGATATTTTTCATAATAAAAATTAACAAAATAAAAATTTATTGACATTCGAAATTTATCAAATTCACGCGGTGGTGTCATTGATTGCTATTTTAACCTTCCTTTACCATTTGCAGGACATAAAACCAGAATCGAGCTTCCATAAACATCCGGTATCCTTCCATTTTCCCAATACAATTAAAGACTGATCGTTAAGCATATCTGCAAGTTCCCATGGCAATTATATCAAATCAAAGAACTCAAGAAATTATTTCTTCAAATATTGTTTTTTCGTGTCTTCCTCTAGAACACCAGTGACGTCAACAATAGCAAGAAGTTTTCCAAACCCACCATGGATGTTTCTCAGCAGGTCCAGCCGTTGTAGAATAGGATCATCATATCGATCCCATTGTATAACCTGGAGAAAACAGCATTAATCGGAAAAGAAAAGAATCTACCGACACCGTTACCTTCGTCGGGCTTCTTTTTTTTTTTTTTTTTTTTCTCCCTTTGGGAGAGAAGACGGACGAAGAGAATGAAAAGAACCCAAACTAAAAAGCCCGGGCGGTTTTATTGTGGGAAAAACTACAAATCAGTCTCCCAATTATATAAGTCGTTTCATATGCATCTCTAGAGTTAATTTCCAAATAATAATATTTAAAATTGTTTTATTTTTTTTAAATTCAAGTTATCAGCAGCATTTTTCAATCCATGCCATTTTCTTTTGGCGTTATTTTTAGGTTGATTTAATTTTTATTAAAATAAATAATTAAATTAAAATTAAAAAAAATCAAAACCGAATCAAAATTAATTTAAACTAGCTAGTTTCAGTTTAGTTTTTAGGACATAACCGGTTGAAACTGATTTTTTTCAATTTTAGCTTAGTTTTTTTTAGTTAGCTTGGTTTTTTATTTTAGCTCGGCTTTTCCAGTTTGACTCGATTTTTTTAGTTTTTTCAGTTTCGATTCGGTTTAAGGCTTATAAAATTAAAACTAAACCGAACTGGTTGATTTTTTTAAAATTTTAATTGGTCTAAATGATTTTTTTCACGGTTTAGTTTTTTTAATTATTTTTTTCTGGTTTTCTCGATTTAATCTGTTTTATGGTTTTTTTCTCACCCCTAACAAAAACATCAAGAACAAACATGGTTGCTAGGTTGATTTTTCAATTTTCTTATTATATATTAATGGAATAGATAATAAATGATAATGGAGTTTATTATAAATCAAAATAGTTAAATACTAAAAATATTATAACTATAAAAATATTTAAATATTAATTTTTATTCTTCCCAAACTCACTTTTCAAAAAGACTATTATAATATTTTATATAAAAAACCATAAAAACCCTATAATACTAAATATAAAATAATAACAGAAAAAAATTTCTAAACTAAAAAAATAAATAATTAAAAAATATTTTTTTTTTAAATAATGCATAATATATATAATTTTTCAATTTAAATTATTATTCAAAATAAAAAACCGATTCTTTTCTTAATTACAAGTATGGATAAATAAAATTATTTATTGGTGATAAATCATGACACTAATATTTATAAACATAATTTGTATACAATATATAATTTCTCACAATAAATGATAAATATAATGAATTGATTTTTCATAAACACACAAACGCATAAAAAAAAGTTGCTCATCAGCTTGATGTCATTGCAATTGTATCACTTTGCATCCTTAACCTTCACTCATGGACCTGATAAAATAATTTATATAGTTTGGGGACTGACTTGTCTACTGTTCTTCATTGTAAACCATGGCAATCTCGTAAATTTCTACAAAGGGAACGCTGCTTCTCTCTCCAATTACGCACCGTTCACAGAACGAGAGTCGACTAACAAATCCAAAATGCATCTAAAGAAGCCATTGTGGAGCACAGCCCTGAAAGAAACAAGAGAACCGTCGTCAGAGGCGGAGCCGCAACCACAACAACCGTCGTCAGCCACGGCAACAGCGGTGGATGAGCTAGTAAATTCATTAAACAAGCAAAGATTATATAGAGAAGTAACACTCGCTCTCCGTACAAGCCTTAGAGATGCTCGCGCCGAATTCTCTTTCCTCCGCCTCCGCGGCCTCCGCTCTCTCCTTAACTTCCTCAGATCCGTCGCTCAATCAGATTCCACTATCAATATCTTCTGCCAAACGCAATCTTTACCGGACCTTCAAGGTAACTAACTTGCTCTGAATCACTTCTTTGCTTTTTTCGATTACTTTGTTTTCTGTAATTTTTATTTATCGGTGAATTTTTTTAGTGGTTCCGGTTTTGTTTCAAAATTCGTTGAAAGAGGGGGAGGAGGAGCAAAATGTGGAGAGTTTGAGTCACGTGTTTGGTGTGGAGCCGATGAGGATTACAAGTCCTTCGACGGATGCAGAAATCGCGCTAGCGCTTCGTGTTTTGGAAGGTTGTTGTTTGCTTCATAGAGAGAGTACTGTTTTTGCTCATCAGTACAAGGCAATTCAGGTGGTTATTAGAATTGGATTTTAAAGAAAATGAATTTTGTACTGCGTGTTGGTGGTGTGTTTATGCATAAACGTTGAGCATTTGGTTTTGATTTTGTAGGTTTTGATGCGGGTTTTGTCGACCAGAGGTGTATTGGAGAAAAGTGCTTGTTTAGATGCTCTAATTTCGATAATGTTGGATTCGTCACCCAATCAAATGGTATGAATTTTGTCCCATCATTCTCATTCTTCATGTTTAAATTTAGAAGCAAATTGGTTTCTACTACATACATTCTGATGCAAGATATTAAGAGCAAGCTTAGTAAATGCATTGATTTGAGTTTATTCATGTTTTACATTTTAGTAGTATGGGAGTAGATTTTATTGAATGCAATCATTCATCATAATCGTTTATGTTATACAAACTCTGAACTACACTGCTTCTGAAATATTTCGACTCGAAGTTTTTCGAAGCAGATGTGAAAGGGTATCCAATGGAGGCAAATGCTAAAAGAGTCTGCCTAATATTTTCTGTCATGTTTTCCTCATTTGTTATTGTTTACAGGGTGCTTATTTAGGTTGTGTTAAGTGCAATCAAACTTTCATTTTTGGAACATGGATTGAAGATGACCATGGCGTGGTTATATTTGTGGATCCCACTTGTAAGCTAGTTGAATAAATAAAATTAGTTCTAAGTATGCTCATTCACCTAGATAGGGAAGCCATTGCACCCTTAAAGCAGAGATTAAAGATGATAATAGCATGAGTTGCCTTAAACTAGCAAGTCTCATTCTTTGGGTGACACTCTCCCTCCATGGGTTGAAGTCAATGCCAGGCAACTTTCCACTTGGTTTCACTAAACATCTACATGCTAACCAATAAACATGTCATAAGGCTCAACTTCTGCCAGAAAAGATGATGTAATGTGTCATGTGGGATTGAGAAAAGACCACTTTTAACTAATTCTTTTCTATTTTTCCTTTTTCCTTATTTAGTTCAGCTCTGGAATGGACTGTATTTCTAACTTTAGTTTGTCATAGTGTTTCTATTTTGTATTGGTGTAGTGCAAGTTTAATTGTAGGCTTCAGAGATCCAGTACAGTTGGGTTTCATATAACTTGAAGACCAAGAACTTGATTTACTGTGATGCTCTTGTTTAGTCGCTACACATTTTTGTTTATTTTATTTTATTTATTAGACTCTGTTGCTTCACTTTGGTGCATGGGCATGTCTCTCAAACTATCATCTTGATGCAATATTCTCTTTCAACATTTTTGTATTCTTTATTATTTTCCACTATGAATATTCTATGCTACTATAACTGGAATTTTTCTTTGCTATTGACATTATGCTGGCTTAATCCTAGAACTTCACTAGATCTAGAGGAGTTATTCATATCTCATTTCCTTTGTAATTGGATTGTGATTTCTTGATCTTGTTTTGAATTGAATTAGGCTTCTTTTTTGCAACCTCAACATCAATATTTCCATCCGTGTTAGAGTTTAATCTTAGTTATGGTTATAGTAGTTCCTAAGTGATTTGATTATCATACCTAATCACTGCTGAACTGGGCCTACTTTGTAGACTAGATCAGAAATTCTAACCTGTTATACATAAAGAATATACCAATACACTCAACATCAATTTGGATGAAATAACCAGGCTTGATTTGCTCTTTGGGCTTGCTTTTCCAAGAGTTCCATATGCCTGAATTCTGGCTTTGTCAATTAAATGCATAATGGAACTTTAGAGGACATGAATTACCTGGTTAAGGCTGATACAATGACCTCGAAAAACAGTTGTGCTAACCATATAAAGGAGTTGTCCTTATTTTCTAGCATTAAAGTCAATCATGATGTTAATTGATCAAGAAAATTCTTTCTTCTCTACTTAGCATCCCTGTTTACTTTGACTTGTATACACTCAGGATTTCGAAGCGTGTAATGGTATTGAGGAAGTAACTGCAGTTATTAGGGACAAGCAAGTGGATGAGAATCTCAGGTATTTATTAATTTTCATTACCTCCACTGTACAGCATGGTGCTGTTAGTACTGTTTGTCATATCCGAGATGTTATTAGAAGTAAAGCAAATTTTGCAAATGGCAACAAATTACAGCAGTGATTACAAAAGTGAAAGAGAACACTGTTTGCTTCCCCCACACCTACCCTCATGCACAGACTTGAAGAATTTGTTTTCAAATGATTGTCATGAACATTAACAAG